TCTAATGTTATTCTTTCTTGATGTTTAGTTTGAAGTCTGTTTTTTTCTCTTTAGAAGCATATGATATCTCCTTTTTGTGCTTTTTTTTATCTTCTGATATTTCAGAGGTATCAGGTCCACAGATTTCCACACATTTTGCAAATTCTATAGTGTAATTGGATTGCTTCTTGTCTTCTTTACTGTCAGTTTAGGACTCAGCTATCTTGGGCATGCTTTTTAGTTTCAAATGATTTGTTTTGCTGTTATCTTTTTTTTTTGAAACATAATTGATTATACATATTTGTGGGGTACAGAGTTGAATATCAGTACCTGTGTACAGTGTGTGTACAATGGGAGGATCAAGTCAGGATAGTTAGCATGTTCATCACTACAAAACTAAATCATTATTTGTGTCAGTTAACCAATTTCTTACCTCTCTCCCCTTCCCCCTTTCCCACCTCTAGTAAACACAGTTCTCTGCCCTCCTTCTGAAAGTTCAATATATTATTGTGATTGTTCTTTCTCTCTTCCCTCCTCCCTCTCCCTCCCTTTCTCCCTCTCTCCTTCCCACTTACGAGTGAGGACGAGTGAGGACGTGAGGTATTCTGTGTCTGGCTTGTGTCACTTAATATAATTTTCTCCAAGCTCATCCATGCTGCTGCAAATGGCAGAATTTCACTCTTTTTTATGGTTGAGTAGTATTCCATTGTGTATAGATACCACACTTTCCTTATCCAATTGTTCCTCCTTTTGCCCTTGGGACTTGTGCCTAAAAACAAACATTACACACACACAAAAAAAAAAACTTTACTATGATTTTAGTAAGATGTCTGGGAGGAACTGAGGTGTTCACTGTTCCATCTTTACCCAGAATTCTACCCATTCGCTCCTCAGCCAGCACCCCACCCCATCACTGAGACTGCCCACAGAAAGGCCACTCACGTCCAATTGTTCCTCCTTTTGCCCTTGGGACTTGTGCCTAAAAACAAACATTACACACACACACAAAAAAAAACTTTACTATGATTTTAGTAAGATTTCTGGGAGAAACTGAGGTGTTCACTCTTCCATCTTTACCCAGAATTCTACCCATTCGCTCCTCAGCCAGCACCCCACCCCATCACTGAGCCTGCCCACAGAAAGGCCACTCACACACTCACGAGCTCCTGTTGTCAGGTGCTTTGGGCACTCTGTCCTCACCTTACTTGACTTCTCAGCAGTATTTGATGTGGATGTGACTGCAGCCTTCTTTTACAAATGAGCTCCTCCCTTTGCTTTGATGAGTCTGCCCTATGCAGGGGTTTTCCTATTCACTGGCCATCCTGTCTGTCTTCTTGGCTGGTTCCTTCTCTGTATCCAGCCTCTAAATAACAGAGCTCCTCAGGCTCGTTTTTGGGCTCTCCTCTCTATCTTCACTCTCCCTAGTAAGTTTAACCCATACCCATGGCTTTAAATGCCATATATACATGCTGATGACACCCATTGAGATCTCTCCTCCGAGCTCAAGATTAATATACGTATCCAGTTCTCAATCTCTCTGGGCATGTTCTGAACAGAACTCTTGGTTTCCCTCAAACCTGTTTCTTTTCTAATCTTCCCTACACCAGTAACTGGCATCATCATGTAGCCAGTTGCTCATACAAAAGTAATTGGATCTGTTACTCCCTTTTTCAGTCTAAACCATCAGCAAGTTATATCTCCAAAATATATCTTCAATTTATCTTTCCCTCAGGTGCCTAGCCCAGTGCCTGACGCGTATGAGGCATTCACTGGTAAATGGTCAAATGAATGACATCAATAGAAAACCAAGAAAATTCCTGTAAAATAATGGGGGCTCTTTAAAAATGTTGAGGTCATGAAAGATAAAGGCAGAGAGACTTTTCTGGATTAAAAGATATTAAAAAAGACATAGTAACCAAATACAATGCATGATCCTTGATTAGATTCTTTTTTTTTTTGTTTAAAAGCCAGCTGTAGAGGCTGTTATAGGGACACCTGGGGAAATTTAAATATGGATTGTATACTGATAATATTGTATCAGTGGTATTATGATTACCTGGGAGGATGTCCTTATTTTTAGGAAATATAAGTTGAGGTCTCTAGGGGTGATATGTTATGATACCTGCCCCTCATTTTCAGAGGTTCAGAAGAAGAAAGCTTTTATCAGGAAAGGGAAAACCCATGCAATAAAATGTTAACAGTTGGTGAATCTAGGTGAAGGATATATGGGTGTTCATTGTACTCTTCTGTTATCTTACTGTACGTTTGAAAATTTTTCTAAGTAAGACATTGGAAAAAATCAGCAGTGGAGAAGAATTTAATGAAAAGATATTTTTAAGCCCCAAAATGCTGAGATCCATTTTAAAGCATACGACTAAATGTGTAAAGTCTAAGGATATACATAGTTAGAGTGTTGATGTCTTCAACAGGAAGAAAATAAGACTGAGTAGAAACAAGGCTTTTCTGGTCAAGTTACCTCTTTAAAATATTGGTGTGACAGTGTTGGTGAACTGCCCACCAGAGGGCAGTGCAGACAGTAACTCTGCTGTCCACAGCAGGCTCACTGAAAGTTGTGGTTTTCTTTCCCATTTAACTGGCTCCACGTGAGGTCGCTAGTCTCTGCACAAAACATTTTTAGGATTCTTAGACCACTTAGACCGTTTTAGAAGAGAGAGAATTTGGATAGTTATATCGCTTCCCATTTCTTTCTCCCTACTCAGATCTGTTTCTAAATTCTATGGATTTTAGCTTTTGTCTTTTCTGATTCATGGCATCTTTGGAAGGATCTGGATATGGGAGGTATACATCTGCTTTCCTAAGTGTGTGCTCCAAAGGCCAATAGTGCATTTGCCCAACAGCATGTCAGGATTTATGTTTGTCTTTTTATTGCAAACTGCCAAATCATCATCTCGTTTCAATTAACCTTTAGGTTTCCTAGGTTGTATTAAAATTCTAGGAATTTCATTTAGGGATTTTACCTCCCTTAAAGCTGTGATGTACCTCCTTATCGAGTAGTTGACTTAAAAGAGCCATCTTTTTATGTGCTCATGCAGAAATGATGGGTTAGTGTAAATATTGTAGAAAATTACCCAGGAAATTCAATGATTACTCTGTGGTAGGTGGTTGTTCTTTCACCTATTACTTACCCAGTGCCTGCGGAACCAGATTATACTACTAGACTAGGGAATTAAAAGCCACAGAGGTTAGACCTGGTCTCCTGAGGTACTTATAATTAGGTGAATGGGGCAGACAAGTCCCCAACAAATTGAGACAAGGCCTTCAGAAGGAAGTGCTGAATTTAGATATAAGTAAAAGTGCTTTGGGGAGGCAGGTGATGAGTGAGGATTGTTGCAGGTGGAGATGGAAGTTATAACTTATCGTATCTTGGCTCAGTACATGAAGTCTTTACTTAGTCCTTCAATGCCAAACTCAGCATCAGAACACCACCAGACTCTCTGGATAGCTTACTCTGACCCTCTCAAATAAGTTAAGTGCCCTTCCTGTGCTCTCACTGCATCTAGTTCAGACCTCTATGATACCAGGCTATTCATGGTTGTTAATTTGCATCCTCTTCTCTCCTGAGGGCAAAGATGATTACTAACAAAATGGTACATTCTCCTGTTCTGGGTCTATTCTGGTCCTGCACATGATTTCCTCCTTTTGGGGTACTCTCTTTCTGTTTTTTTCCTTCGTCTTTTTCCTCAAATACAATGGCATAGATTCGCTGCCATCTTAAGAAGGAAAGAAAAGGAAGTAACGTCACTGAGTGTCTTCTTTGTGTTGGACACTATATTCACTGTATTAGATGCTTTGTGAGCATTTTCTCACTTATCTTGCATCTTTAACAAACACACCAAGCTTCTTCCCCTTTCAGGTCTTTGCACTTGCTGTTTCCTCTGCTGGGAGCTGCTTTTCCTCAAGTCCTCAAGCAGGTGGCTCCCTTTTCTGCTAACAAACACTCTTCTGAAGTTAATTTTATTAGATCGGTCACCCCTTCTTCTCTCAGTGATGGGTAGGGCTTCAGGGACAGGAATTAGCTGAGGCCTGGCTGAGATTCTTTGACTTCCTCCCTTTCTCTCTTTCCCTGCCTTTCTAGCTGCTCCTTCAGCACATATCTATAACTTATATGACCCATGAGATGGTAAAATACTAGTTGATTGTGGCAGTGTCTTTTCAACTTTTGCAATGTTCAAAAAGTGCCACTTTTTAAAGGACATTTTTGAGCAAAATATCTTTAAATAATTTATTTTTGCTAATGTAGTTTTACTTATTTTCTTAAATGTAATTTAAAAGTAATTCATCTTGTTTGGTTTTCCTTAAAAGTGTTTTCATTTGGATATAAGATTATTATTTTTCTATATTTTTATTATTCATTTTATTCTCAGTATTTAAGAAGACTGATGTTCTTGTGTTCAGGTATAATGCTCCAAGGGAGTGTTTTAGGAAAGAAAGAATATTAATTATTTCTTGTAGCTTGTCTATAAAAGGCCATTTGGGAAAGTACAATTATTTTAGTCTTTTATAGGACTTTGGGGTGGATTTTTATACTTGCTATATTAAAATCATTTTCAGACTACTATAGAAAATTTGTAAACTATCAATATTTTAATAGCTATAGTTGTCTAAGCTTTCCTAATTATATGTTGAGCTTTCTAATTCTTACCAGACCTGCTTCTTCCTGGCAAAGCTTAAACATCAGTCTCTAATCAGTTAGGTTAATCTGTAGTTTCAGAATATAATTAAATTTGTCTGAGCTGGTTACTGGGCACATTTCAGACATCAGACTGATACGTATCATCAAACCACTAAGAATATTTCAATTTTAAAATTGACCTTTTGCTATCAACCTTTCTTTAATCTGCCAGTTATACTTAACAGAAGTATTTATTTGAAAAATAACCTGAAAAAAAAAAAAGTAACCTGACTTTATTAATGTATTTAATTTCAAAAACTGAAGTGGTATAAAATGTGTATAGAGCAAAATGCTTTAAGAAACTAATGACATTTCTTTTTATTTATAGAGATACTTTCTAGTTGGGAGTAATCATGCAGAAACGAAATATCGTGTCTTGAAAATTGATAGAACAGAGCCAAAAGATTTGGTCATAATTGATGATAGGGTAAGTATCTTCCAAACCTGACTACAAACAGAAGCTTTCATACCTGTTATTTAAAGGATATGAATTATTTTTCTTAGTTAGCTAGAATTTGAATCTCTAACTTGATTTCTAGAAATTATTGATGTCAAGAAGTATGCCAGAATTATACTTTGTTTCTCATTTTGATTTGTTTTTGAAAGCACACTCTTTGGACAAGATGATGGATATATTTTCTTAGAGTCGACATTTTTTTTATGTTAACTTAATATTGCATCTGCCAAAGGGATTATCTATTACTATGCTTTAATATGAAGCTGCCTGAAGTCAGGGAAGACGTCTATACTGCAGACTTTTTATTATGCTGCTAAAAATCACCTCTAGCACCTCTACTGATGAATTGCTATACACTAAAGAAATGTTAAGCTGTTCTTGTCCAGATGTTGTATTATCCAGAGTCAGGAATTCAGGAATACAGATGCTTAATTCATCTGGCACAAAAACCCGAAGCTGTTAGTCAAAAGTGAAATACAATATGGTGTTGTTAAGCAGCTTTTTAAACTTTTTTTCATTAAATTTTTAAATTTATTGTTAGCATATTCATTCTTACAAATCGTGATATTTCTTTATGCCCTTTACCTGACCTAACAGGAGGCTTAATTTACCCTTTGCATTGAAATTCCTGTCTGAGAATATTTCTGAATCCATGTAGATTCCTGGTTTCTCAAGTATATTGGTAGCTACAGTTTGGAACCCATTTTCACTAAGCTCTTTGCAAAACTGTGTTCCATGTTATAATAATTTTAGGTAAATTCTTTATTTTGATTTCCCATGCCACTCCTGGGAGTTCATCCCTGCTTGGAAGTTTTTATTAATATAATGTAATAGTTTTTGGTTTTATTTGGAAGTGGGAGTCCCTTTATTTGGTCAGGAGCCCCTTGAGAAGCTGAGAAGAGCTATGGGCCTTTTCATAAAAATGTACAAGAATCCAAAATTTTGCATAGAGTTTTAAGGGATTCACGGATTTCTTGAAATTTGTCTGTGGATTTCTTAAATTCTGAATGTCTTTTTTAGTGTATCATCAATTTTAGTATGTTTTGGTATAGAATCAATTTTTCAGTATAGTGGTATGATCCAATAACCAAACTTAATTGCTAATGCTAAAGAACTTGCTGGCTTTTTAAAATTGTAGCTTAGCCATGCACTTTTATATTCTTCTCTATGAAATATGATACTTGTAGGCAACTTTAAATTTTCAGGGGTAAATAATAAATAATCTAATGAGTAAGCACAATCTTACAGATTAAATATGCTTATTTTTAGCATGTATATACTCAACAAGAAGTGAGGGAACTTCTTGGCCGCTTGGATCTAGGAAATAGAACAAAAATGGGACAGAAAGGATCTTCTGGATTATTTCGAGCTGTTTCAGCTTTTGGTGTTGTAGGTAAGAAATGTGCCGCCTTCTTTTTTTTTTTTTTTTTTTAAAGATGACCAGTAAGGGGATCTCAACCCTTGACCTGGTGTTGTCAGCACCACGCTCTCCCAAGTGAGCTGACCGGCCATCCCTATATAGGGATCCGAACCCGTGGCCTTGGTGTTATCAGCACCACACTCTCCCAAGTAAGCCATGGGCCGGTCCCATTTACTACTCTTTTTTTTTTTTTTTTTTTGCTGCATAGACTACTTGATGAGAGAGTTTATAAGGATATATAACTTTATAATTATGACCTATCATCTGTGGCTTTTGTTGTTTAAAATTCATCTTCCATCAATCAGATATCAAACAGCATTTATATAGCATCTGCTTATATGCTCAGTTTGATATAGGATACAAACAAATATAGAAATGTTTCTGGATTTTGAAGAGTCTACTGTCTGGTTTGTTGAGGAATGGAAAAGTAAAAATTAACTTAGACTGTAAACATCTGCCCTGCCATTCATCAGCTGGAATAATAGGTACAGTAAAACCACCTTTAAAATTAACAGGAATTTTTCCCAAGGGCAGGCAGCAGCCATAAAGTGTCATAAACTTTTTCTTTGGATGATTACTGCTTTCTTACTCACTGAGAAACTTTGTTTTTTAAAGTCACAGACCATCAGAAACTTTGCTGTTTGAAATTATTTCAGTAAGAGAAAACATCCCTGGGCCGTTTTAAGTCACTTTGACACAATGCAGCAGCCTCAATTTATAATTCAGATGCAGAGCTTCAGATAAGTGGCTTCTGGAAACAGTATTCTATAGCTATGCTAAATTTATTGTTTTTAAGGAAACAGGACCCTGGGTCTACTTCATGGTCCAGACTTGATATTGATCTCTTTAAATACAGTCCAGCTTTGGTTTGTGCCTCTTCATTAAATTTTACCTAAGCTCCACCCTTGCCCCAGAATCCTCTAATAGTTCCTTTACTTTAGTGAGATGCTCCACAGTTCTTCTGGTGTGCATTGTCCCTCACTGAGGTGGGTCAATAAGCCTGTCTCTACTGTACAGTAGATTTGTCCCTGTCTAAGCCAGGCCAGAGGACAAAAGCCAATGCACATGAAACAACTCTAAGATTATAATTAAGAGCCAACCTGACTGGACTGTATGTAATATTGACTAAGTAGTTTCTACAGATGTTAACAAAATTAATATGGAGTTGATGATGTTATTTACTTTGAACTTCTTATGTTAGGTTTTCTGATTAGCATTTTCTATTTTGTGACACTGTATTTGTTGAAATTTTGGATTATATTCTGCCATATTTGGAGTTTGTTTTTCTCTGTGTGCTCTCATAACTCTTTATATGTAATCCCTTTAGATCCATTTTGTGTCTTAGGTGGCTGCCAGGGATGGTACAGAATGGTATGGCATAATTGATTTCTTCTCCTTATATATGCCTTCTGCTCAGTCTTGACAAGGCCCTTGAGGTTACACGTTGTATGGATAAGTGTTTGTGGGCATGTGTATGTCTATATATGTCATGTGAGTTCATCTGCTTAAATTCCATAAATTCTATATATGTTAAATTCCACTTTAAGTCTTGCTCATATTTTAAACTTAAGAAAAAAACCTCAAAATGTGTTAAATACCATAGGCTCTGATTTAAATAATGATTACTTAATAGTTTGAGCTTTTCTTTAAAATGCCGGTACTTTGTTACTATAGTCCCATTTGTTTATTTTTCCTTTGGTTGCCCGTGCTTTTGGGGACATATTCATGAAGTCTGTGCCCAGCCCTATTTGCTGAAGGGTTTCTCCTATGTTTTCTTTAATAAGTTTTATTGTTTCGGGGTGTATATTTAAATCCTTGATCCATTTTGAGTTGATTTTAGTACATGGTGAGAGGTATGGGTCTAGTTTCAATCTCCTGCATATGGATATCCAGTTATCCCAGCACCCTTTGCTGAAGAGGGAGTCCTGACCCCAGTGAATAGGCTTGGTGCCTTTGTCGAAGATCAAATGGCAGTAAGTGCGTGGGTTGATTTCTGGGTGTTCTGTTCTATTCCATTGATCAGTGTCTCTGTTTTTGTACCAGTACCATGCTGTTTTGGTTATTGTGGCTTTGTAGTATAGTTTAAAGTCAGGTAGAGTAATACCTCCAGCTTTATTTTTTTTTGCTCAGCGTTGCTTTGGCTATTCTTGGTCTTTTGTTATTCCAGATAAATGACTGTATAGTTCTTTCCATTTCTGAGAGAAATGTCATAGGAGTTTTGATGGGGATTGCATTGAATTTGTATATTACTTTGGGTAGTATAGTCATTTTCACTATATTGATTCTTCCAATCCAGGAGCATGGGATGTCTTTCCATCTTCTTGTATCCTCTCTAATTTCTCTCAGGAGTGGTTTATAGTTCTCGTTATAGAGATTTTTCACGTCCTTAGTTAGTTCAATTCCTAGGTATTTTATTTTTTTGGCGACTATTGTGAATGGGCAGGCTTTCTTGATTTCTCTTTCTGCTTGTTCACTATTGGTGAATAGAAATGCTACTTTTGTTACAACTTTTTTGATAGAAATTTCCCTAGGTGTATGTAATATTGAATGCCACATTAGCCAGGGTTTATTATTCATAATTAAAACTTCCTTGATGATTAGTATAATGAACTGAAGATCAGTTATTGAACTGGGTTTAAAATAGCTGCCCTTGGGTGTTCTGGAGTTGTATTGGACTATTTGCCTTTACATTAAATGGTCCCTAGACTGTTGTACTAGGGATATTCCTTGCCTCATTTTTAATCTATTAATAACCAAGCTTGTAAAACCAGAAGCTTTATTTGAATTAATCGATAAACAGATTGGTAACCAGATATTTATTTTACACACAAGTATTAGTTAATAAGCTCTGGGTAAAGGCGAAGGTGTCTCCATGTTTCTCTTTTTTTTTTTTTTTTTTTTCTTTTGTCTTTTTTCCGTGTCCGGCAACGGATCGCAACCCTCAGTGTCGCCCCCGTACCGGACCGGGGACCGGCAACGGGATCGCAACCCTCGGTGTTGCTCCCGTGCCCCGCTCAGCCAGGGAGCAGGAACCGGTCCGTATGTGGGATCCGAACCCTCGGACGGGAGCGCCGCCGCGCTTCCCAAGCGGCGCACTATCCAGTGCGCCACCGGGCCAGCCCTCCATGTTTCTCTTAAAGGTGACATCATTAGCTATTTCTCTAATAGTTAAATGCCTCTTAGTTTTGAGATTGTTCTTAGATGAAGTCATTAAAAGACTAACCTACAATTAAAGTGACACAATAATGTACTAACTAAACATTATTTTTATAGAAATGAATTTTATATATTCTAGTTCAACCATGTAAAGAATGTTTAGAATCAGTAAAGAGTAAACAGGGAGCTAATAAAAGTCTATGATTTTTCTAGTACTGTATTAGAAACAACAGGGGATACTGAAATTATAAAACACAAAATACTTATCTTTGAAAAATGTATAGTCTAGTTGTCAAAATAATACATATGAGAAATGACTTCTCTTCTGTGGCTAAAATATTGTGTCTACTAACTTTTCCAGCGTGCTTAATTTGTGGATAATATTTTGTTGGAATGTCTTGGATGGTTATCATGGTTAATTTAGTCACAATCTATAAGAATCTAGAGCAGTGTTTCTCAACTATCTGTAGTAAAGGACCAGTTTTTTCCTCCCAGTTTATCACAGACCAATACATGATCCTACTATGCATAACTTGTATATAGCTTGTACTACATGTGACTCAAAATACAAGTTTAGCGATACCCAAAGTAGTCTATGTTCTGTTTAAGGCAAGTTCATTAATCATGCCTGTAGATGTTTTGGCAATCTAAAATTGTTCTAACATTTTTAAACCCTCTCTCAATTTGTTTACTAGTTTTTTCATGGGCTGCTACTGAAAGCTTATGGACCAGCACTGGTCCCTAGACCGTATTTTGAGTATTACTGGCTTAGAGAGTTTTCTTTGCTATAAACATGGGTTGATGCAGTCCTATAGCTACCTTGCCAGCTACCTTGACAATTTCTGACCTGCTCCATTGTTATCTGACAGCCAGCAGCAAGTTGGGAAACCCCTGGATGGGATCATGAGCATCCACCACAAGGTTGTATTATCTGGTTTTGGAGTATGTGAATGGAGTAGGTGGCTGGTGACTTATAGTACTTACTACTCTGAGCTCTGTAACCATCCCAGCCCCTTTTGACACATAGCCCTTAGATCTATGTCCTTTTTTTTTTTTTTTTTTTTTTTTTTTTTTTTTTTTTTTTTTTTTTTTTTTTTTTTTTTTTTTTTTTTTTTTTTTTTTTTTTTTTTTTTTTTTTTGTCTGTGTTACCTGTCAGAGGATACTCTTTTAAGCTGCAAGTGTGTTGGAGGTGAGTGGTAAAATAAGAAGTGTCATTGTAGTAGACTAAGTGAGGGACTAAACTATTATTTAAAACAACACCCTTAAAGATAGATCAGAGATCCAAGATAATAATGAAAACAACAACGACGTGTGAGCCTCAGACTAGTTAGGGAACGGTATGATTTGATGAGAGATTTCACTTTGACTCCAGAGAGTCGTGCAATAGCCCTACGTACCTTGTCGGGATTTTTCATAGTTCTCTCCTGGAGTGCTGTTCTCACTGAAGGCTTTCAAGATAATAGCTGGCTGGCATGGTGACCCCCAAAACAGGATAGTCATTCTTGCCTGTTAGTGGGTTGGTGCGGTCCTCCTTAGCCCCTAGAACTCCACACCACTCCATTCTCTCACACTGTCTTTTTTTTGTGCACTTTGCTTGGTGTCCCTCTTAAGTGACACAGCCTTTACTTTGGAGAGAGAGAAATCATTTTTGATTTATGCCTATCATCTTGTCTTCTGGAAAGTACTCAGTGAAACTGGCCTGGGGTCAGAAGTTTATAGAATGAAGATGAGAAAACTTGTTCCAGTTTTGAGTATGTTAGAGTAATGAATATGCTGACTTTTGGTAGATGTCTGTGCCAAACTGAAGCCTTTAATTGCTGTCTATATTTGACAGGAATCTTTTAAAAAAGAGAGATGTTTCAAATTGGTAGTAAAAAGAAAGGAAAATAATCTCATTTATAATATACTGAAGGTATTTGTGTTGGAAGAAAAGAGTCTCTTTTTTGCAGTATATTTACTTTCCTTCATACAAATTATGAAGGGAAATGTAGAATGATATAAACAGGCTGGAGCTAAAATATAAAATTAAAATTCAATTAGAATGCAGGTTGAGAGAAATTATTACAGAGATTTTTTTATAACAATAAATTTATAGCAAGAATAAAAAGAGAACTAATTTATTTTGGAAATATTTATTACTTAAACCCAGTTAGATTCTCTTTTTTGAGTTTTTTTATGTTGCTTCTGAGAGCCTTAGTTTTGTAAGTTTTGTCTTTCTAAAAAGATAACTACTTCCTAACTTGGTTTTAATGAGATTGTCATTGGCTGTTTTTTCTTCCTTCCCATTCCTGTGTCCTTCAGCATTAATACAGGAATGTTTGGCTAGTCTCTAAGCAGGAAGAAACCTAAACACTTTTTTTTTTAAACTTTGGGTTTTGTGGATCTCTAAAATATAGGTATTTTTCATTGTTTTGATAGCATTTTTTGTCAGTAGCATTGCTCATAGAATCCTTGAGGCATCTTTCTGTTATAGATTTCAGCTCATTTATGCTAATATATTCAATTAGTAGGGTTTTTTTGTTTTTTGTTTTTTTTGTCAGCTGAGTATAACAAGACATAGACAATAGGTATTTGCCAGGTCTAGAGCAAAAACTCATAGCACCAGGATCCTAGCTTAGACTTTATAGAATGTAACACTCTGAGAATGAGAGAGAGACAAAGAACATAAGAAAGTTACTTTTTCTAGATATAAATTCTTGGTTGGGTGCTTTTCTTTCAATACCTTGAATATGTCATCCTACTGCCTTCTGGCCTCTGTTGCCTCTGATGAGAAGTCAGTGTATATGACAATACCTGACTTGCCCTATGAGTGAGCTGGGGTGAGAGTGACTGGGACCCTGTATTCTTGGCCTGCCATGCCTAAGATAGAGCCTCCACCCTACGAGTGGGGCTGAGTAGAAGAAAGGAGCCTAGACCTCAGCTGTGCTTGCCTGGAATAGAGCTTCTGCAACACAGATCTGGAGGAGATGAGAAATGCTGGTGGCCTGCCCCTCCTGAGCAGAAACTGTGGTCCTAGACTGGGAACTGGGGAGAGAGGAAGGATCCCTGTCTCTGAGAAAGTTAGTTTTAACTCCCCAAGCAAAAGTTCAGGGAGCCAAAAAGTTTTTCACCAAGATTATATGGTAACAAGTATGTTGCTGAGAACTTAATGCTACTGTACATTAATGCCTATGGGTTTTTCTTTAATCACCAATATAGAATATCTGCATTCTAATGATGTGACATAACATAGAACTTTATTTTATAGCTCTCTAATATTCATAAAAAGCTAAACTCTCAGAAATATTTGTGGAAGATTGCATGAAGAATGTGTAATTTACTGGGTATGTTTTGTTTTGTTGCCCAACCCCTCCACTTTTCTGGGAGCTGACACCACCTCTCCCCTGTCCCGTCTAAGTCACACTAGTTATTGTAAAAAATGGCTTCCAGTGCAATGTGAGTCTATTCCTTGCCCATGGTTGATTAGTCCAAGGCTGGGCACCCAACCTAAGTTGAGCCAATCCAAGTCCTTTCCTAGGAATTCTGGAATTGAACTTGATAAAAAAGTCAGTTTCCTTTCTCAGTGAAGCTTTTAGACAGAAAGTCCAGAGATGTCAGCAGTGTGTTTCCCACTACATGATCCAGAGGAGCGAAGGAGCCTGATCTATGCAAAGAGATAAGAATGGAGAAGACGTTCAGAAATGCATCTTGACTAGGTTTTTTTCTGAGGCTCAGTCACATCGTTGCCCATGTATGTCATAGATCACCTCAGTATCCTTAATACAAATTCCTTTTTTGTTTAAGCTGGCTCAAGTTGAGTTTTGCTATTAGTTATCAAGAGTCTATGAAGTTTGTTCTTTTGAGCAACATTTTCCAAAATATGTTCTGGAGAACATTTATCCATTGGTAAATTTGTTCTTAAAAAAAAGGTGGGGGTGAGGGGAAGTTCCATGATCGAATGAATCTAGAAAGGCACTAAGTCTTTATCCCCTGTCTGGATTCACAGTGCACATCAGCACAGTATGGTAAGGTTCTGAGAAGCTGTGTGGGCTTTTTTGTTTTGTTTTAAGTTTCTTTAGTCTACTATTTCCCCAATTTATTTGCCTACATCTCTCCTCTCCCCCTGGAATCTGTTAACTAATATTTCATGGAGAACACATTTGGGGAAATAGTATCATAGATGATTAAATTTTGTCTTCAAGTGAAATTAGACCACCATTCAGCTGTGTGCCTTGTCTGCATTCTGTTAGTTTGTAAAGAATGACGTTTATTGATTTGTGCTTTGGCATATGAAACAGCCCTAAGACATGTGTCCTTGTCACTGCCAGGGAATTCTCCTGAGGTGGTGGTTTTCTATCTCACATACCTTTTTATGAGGATTTACTCTAGAAATATCTCTCAGTTCTCAGAACTAGAATAGCTTCTCCAAGTAACTGGTATGGCTTTTATCTAATCAGCTACTGTATGTATTATAATTGGATATGTGTTTCTCTTCACATTTTCTGTTAGAAAATGCAGAGGCAAATGTGGGGGATAATACATAGGACCTGAAGAGGTGGTGAAGGTCAGCTTTGTACCCCAAGAATATGCATAATCAATAAAATAAAATAAAATAAAATAATAAAATAAGGTATATTCTTATGTATTATTTTTATTCTTGGTTATAGCTTACTTTTCTTTTTAAACATTGATTTCTTCTACTATCATTTCCTCCCTTGTTTTTATCAGTCTTGTGTGTGTGTATATGTGTATTTTATACACATATACGTATGTATTTAATTATGGTAAAAAGCATGCAACACAAAATTTACCACCTTAATCATTTTGAAGTGTATAGTACGGTAGTGGTAACTATGTGCACCTTGTTGTGCAACAGATCTCTAGAACTTTTTTAACTTCCCAAACTGAAACTCTGTATCCATTGAACAACCCCCCTTAATCTTGTATGTATTTTTGCTTAAGTCACTTCAATCCATTTGGAATGAGACTAAAAGGAATGAATTAATGAAATAAAATTGTTTGTTGGAGTAATATTTTAAAGGGAGATAAATGTTAGTAAATATATTCCTGTAGAATAATTCTAAGACAATTGAAAATTTGTATGGCTATAAATCATTGAAATAATAAAGTAGGAAATGTGTCAAAAGTCTTTGGCCATTTAAATAAATATCTAGAACATTGTTAAGTTTACAAAACATTGTATTATCTTTCTTTTTTTGCATAGGCTTTGTCAGGTTTTTAGAAGGCTATTACATCGTGTTAATAACTAAAAGGAGGAAGATGGCAGATATTGGAGGTCATGCAATATATAAGATTGAAGACACAAATATGATCTATATACCCAATGATTCTGTACGGATTACTCATCCTGATGAAGCTAGGTATGTACTGGTGGTAACTACTTTTTTTTTTAATGTGGTAGACCAATTAGAAAACAAAATATAGTCAAGGGATTATAAATATTATGTAAAAATATCAAATACTAGGCCAGAATTCTACAACTTTTGTTCAAGGGCTATCAAAAACCCCCATTATAGCAATTGATTCAGGCCAGCATCAACAATGGCTACTAAAACCATTAGGTGAGAGGTTGTTATTGAGGAATGGAATATTCACATAGTATCAACATATTAAACTCCTCTATCTCTTTATTATTTACAGAGAAGAAAAAGTATATTTATAATGAAAAAAATGGCAGACATACATACTTAACCAAATAATCAAACTTAGCATCATCAGTAATGAGACAAAACTGGCATTATTTGCCTCTTAATATGAATAGAAAGGACACAGATTGCCTAGTAGTTTTCTTGCTAAAAATATTTAACTTGAATCTAAACTGAGGCAATTATCAGGCAAATTTATACTGTGGGACTTTGTGCAAGACAGTTGTCCTGGACTCTTCAAAAATGTTAAAGTCATCAAAGACAAAAAAAAAATAGAGGACTAGATTTTAAAACAGACATGACAACCACATGCAACATGTGAATTTTAATTGAATCCTAAGATAAAACGTGTGTGTGCATGCACACACGTACACACACAGACCTATAGATGACTTTATTGGGACAGTTAGTATATGTACTATATACTAGTAATATTGAATCAATATTAAGGTTTGAGTATAATGATGCTATTATGGTTATTTAGGAGATTGTTCTTGTTCACGATAGATGCATGCCAAAATATTTAGGGGTGAAACATCATGATGACTTCTACTTACTGTCAAATGTTTTAGGAAAGTAAAACTTACGTACTTTTATATTTAAAGAGAGATAATATTTGTGTGTGTGTGTGTGTGTGTGTGTGTGTGTGTGTTTAAGGAGAGAGCTCTAGCAGTGAACTAGGAAGAAGGATATGCTGGTGTTCATTGTATTATTTTTTTCCCAATTTTTCTGTACATTTGAAATCTTCAAAGGTTTTGGGGAGAATTGTTGGAGCCTTGAGAATGTGGGGAAAAACTACTAACAAATTGTTAGATTTAAAATTATAAAGGTTGGGAGTTCTGGTCACGATGGCAGAGATGGTTCCTAGCGTCACTCTCTCCCACAGATTAACTAATTTGCAACTATTAAAAAGCAACAACAGGAGGCCCGACGTCTGCGCTGGTACAGGCAGGAGCTGCACGCCACGGGACCCCCAGCCCAGGCCAGCCCCTGGCACCCAGAGAGGACTGAGAGCTGCTGGGCCCACATGCCCCAAGTCAGCCTGCCCAGAAAAGGCAGGTGCTGTGGTACCTCCAGCCCAGGTCAGTCCCCACCGCTTAGAGAGGCCTGAGAGCTGCTGGGCCCACATGCCCCAAGTCAGCCCCTCCAGAAAAGGCAGGCACCACAGGACCCCCAGCCCAGGCTGGTGCTTGCTGCCTAGAGAGGCCTGAGAGCCTCCGGGCCCACACACCCCAAGTCAGTCGTGCTGGAAAAGACAGGCACCATGGGACCCCCAGCCCAGGCCAGTGCCGGCCTCCCAGCGAGGTCTGAGAGCCACCAGGCCCACACGCCCCGAGTCAACTGCACCAGAAAAGGCAGGTGCCACGGGACTACCAGCACAGGTCAGTCCCTGTCACTTAGAGAGGCCTGAGAGCTGCCGGGCCCACATGCCCTGAGACAGCCATGCTAGAAAAGGCAGGCCCGGTGGAACCCCAGCTCAGGCCAGTGCCTGCCACCCAGATAGGCCTGAGAGCCGCCAGGCCCACATGCCCCAAGTCATCTGTGCTGGAATAGTCAAGCGCTGCAGGACCCCCAGTCCAGGCTAGTTCTCACTGCCCAGAATTGGCAGTCCCTTCAGGATCCAGGCCAGACACCAGGGTGGAACAAGTGGACTGTGATACCCCCTCCCACAATGACTAAACACCAAAGGAAGGATACCAGAAATATGAAAAATCAAGAAAGTACATCACCACCAAAGGATAATATAACTCTCAAGCTCTAGATCCTGTAGAACAGAAAGTCCTTGAAATGACTGACAAGGAATTTAGAGCAACAATTCTAAGGAAACTAAATAAGATACAAGAAAACTAAGTTAGACAACACAATGAAATGAGAAAAAATATACAGGATCTGAAAGAAAAAATGTACAAATAAATGAATGTCTTGGAAAAGAATATAGCAGAGCTTGTGGAGCTGAAGGATTCATTGAACAAAATAAAAAACTCAGGTAGAACAAGCAGAAGAGAGAATTTCAGACCTTCAAGACAGGCTGTTTGAATTAACACAGGCAGACCAGAAAAAAGAATTTAAAAAATTGAAGAAATCTAAGAGACAAACAGACAACATTAAACGCTCAAATATCTGAATCATGGGTATTCCAGAAGGGGAGGAAAAAGGAAATGGCATTGAAAACATATTCAACAAAATAACAGCAGAAAACTTACCAGGTATAGAGAAAGTCACAGATCTTCAGATTCAGGAGACCCAAAGATCCCCAAACATATTCAACCCAAAAAGGTCCTCTCCAAGACATGTTGTAATCAAACTGGCAAAACTGAAAGACAAAGAGAGAATCTTAAAAGCTACAAGAGACAAGCGTCAAGTCACCTACAAGGAAGCCCCAATCAGACTAATATCCGACTTTTCATCAGAAATTCTAAAAGCCAGAAAAGAATGGGATGATATATTCAAAATGCTAAAGGACAAAAATTGCCATCCAAGAATACTTTACCCAGCAAGGCTGTCCTTCCAAAATGAAGGACAAATAGTATATTTCTCAGACTAACAAAAACTGCAGGAGTTCACTACCACACGACCAGCCTTACAAGAAATTCTCAGGGGAGTACTGGGTTTGATACCTGAACAACAACCATCACTGCCATGAATACTCAAGAAAGAACAAAACCTACCAGTAAAACAAAAATGCTAACAATAAAGAAAAAAAATAAGTTTATCTACCACCCCAAGAAACCAACGAATACAGAAGACAGACAGAAAATCAGAAAGAAAGGAACAAAAGATACTTAAGACATCTAAACAAAAATCAGTAAAATGCTAGGAGTAAATCAACACCTTTCAATAATAACTCTAAATGTAAAGGGATTAAATTCCCCACTCAAAAGACACAGACTGATTGACTGGATTAAAAAGATGGATCCAACAGTATGCTGCCTTCAAGAGACTCACCTCACCTTTAAAGACACTTAGACTAAGAGTGAAAGGATGGAAAAAGATATACCATGCAAATAGAAATGAAAAACAAGCTGGAGTAGCTATTCTTATATCAGATAAAATAGACTTTAAAGCAAAAACCATAAATAGAGATAAAGAAGGCTACAATATAATAGGATCTATCCATCAAGAAGGCATACCAATCATAAATATACATGCACCCAATGTTGAAGCAGCCAGATTTATAAATCAAACACTATTAGATCTGAAGAATAAGATAGACACTAACACCATAATAGCGGGGGACCTGAACACCTGACTCTCAACATTGGACAGATCATCTAGGCAAAAAATCAATAGAGAAACACAAGATCTAAATAACACCTTAGAGCAGTTGGACTTGGCAGATATCTACAGAACATTCCACCCAACAACCTCAGAATATTCATTCTTCTCATCAGCTCACAGAACATTCTCCAGGATAGACCACATGTTGGGTCACAAAGCAAGTCTCAACAAATTCAAAAAAATTGAAATTATTCTATGTATTTTTTCAGATCTCAATGGATTAAAATTAGAAATCAATAACAAACGAAACTCTGGAAACTATACAAACACATGGAAATTAAACAACATTCTACTTAATGATATTTGGGTCCAAGAAGAAATTAAACAGGAAGTCAAACAATTTCTTGAAACTAATGGAAATAATGACACATCATACCAAAACCTGTGGGATACCATTAAGGAGGAAATTTATTGCATTAAATGCTTACTTCAGAAGAATGGAAAGATGGCAAATAAACAACCTAACACTTCACATTAAAGATCTAGAAAAACAAGAACAATCCAAACCCAAAGTTAGTAGATGGAAAGAAATAATTAAGATCAGAGCAAAACTAAATGAAATAGAAACCCAAAAAATGATACAAAAGATAAATGAAACAAAAATTTGGTTATTTGAGAAGATAAACAAGTAGACAAACCATTAGCTAGGCCTACTAAACTAGAAGAGAGAAGACTCAAATAACAAAAATCATAAATGTAAGAGGAGACATTACCACCAATACCAAAGAAATACGAAGAATCATTAGAGACTATTATAAAGAATTGTATGACAACAAATTTGAATACCTGGAGGAAATGGATAAATTTCTGGACACATAGAAACTACCAGAACTAAACCAAGAAGAAACAGAAAACATGAACAGAACAATAACAAACAACAAATTTAAAGCATCAGCAATCTCTCAACAAAGAAAAGCCCAGGACCAGATGGCTTTACTGCTGAATTCCACCAAACCTTTCAAGAGGAATTAATATCAATTCTCTTCAAACTATTCCAAAAATTTGAAACAGAGGCCATGCTCCCAAACCCATACTATGAGGCCAGCATCACTCTGATATCAAAACCAGTCAAAGATATAACAAAAAAAGAAAACTATAAGCCAATATCTTTGATAAACATAATTGCAAAAATCCTCAGCAAAATATTAGCAATCTGAATACAGCAACACATTAAAAAATTATTCACCATGATCAAGTGGGATTCTTCCCAGGGATGCAAGGATGGTTCAATATATGCAAGTCAATAAATGTGATACACAACACCAACAAAATCAAGGACAAAACCATATGGTTATTATTAGTCTGTATATTTCAATAGATTCAATATTTTGATTTTTATATTTTTGTTTATATTTTTTGGAGAGAACAAAATCACTTGAAGAGTGAACACTAGTCTTTTCTTTTTTTTCACAGATTGTGATTATGCTAGAAGACTG